GTTAGAGGGTCAAATGAAGATGAAAGAGATGTGTTTTCAGCCGTTTCTTGAAAATATTAAGGACTCAGCTGCTTGGATTGAGTTGGGCAGGTCATTCCACCAGGAGGGAACAGTTAATGTGGAAGTCCATGAAAGTTTTATAATGCAATAAAACATTTGTAATTAGGTTTTAATAAGGTAGAATGCAAAAATGTAATTTATGTAATATTTCAAACCTTTAACCCACTTGGGAAAATCAACCCATGGCAACAGTTTAAAAGTAGCCCAATTCTGTGGAAAAAACGCGGACTTGGCAACCCTGCATCCAGCAAGAACTACCGGAGTCTGCTTTGACTGATCACAGGTCGAGAATAAGGAGAGATGACTGACAAGACCATGCTGGAGTATTTGCTGCTCAACAGGTTCTGAGCTCATTGACAAATATCTTATCTTGTAAGATGTGCTCCCTTTACACAGAGTGCGTGTGATCGCGAAATAGAAAGTGAAAGTAAACAACGCGAACGCTCATTCAAAACTATTTAAATACACCGCATCCTGAGAGCGGCTCCCTGATGCACCAAAATTATATACAATATTAGAATGTTTAAAGGAGTGGACATGAAAATAATGGGAGCGAAACACATGTTGTGGGAGCAGGCGGAAATGGTCAGAGATTCAGCGGGAGCGAGATTAAGAAAACAGCCGAATCCCGGACATTTTGGACAATTAAGAAATCCCAGTCGGACGCATTTTTGTAGGTCCAAAAAGAGGACATGTCTGGGGAAAAGAGGACGTATGGTCACCCTAGAAGTACAGTAAATATCTACACCGGTGTCCGCACGCAGCTGCTATTGCAGGTTTTCAAACAGAGATGGCGACAAAGAGGCAAAATTTACAGACTGCAGCTTTAATTTTACAGGATAGATTATGATAAATTACAGACTCTAGAAATGGCTTTAAGATTCTAATACGTGTTTTTATGCTAGTTTTGTATGCAATATAGCGTCAATACAAAACAACAAATGGTGACTCAGAAAATAGAGGCTAGTAAAACTATAACATACTAAAATCAATGAACATCTATCTATCTATCTATCTATCTATCATCTGACTAAGTCTGTCGGTCTGTCTGTTGATCTATCTATTTGACTCAACATATGCTGACAAATATGCTGAGGATATTCCCTCTCCAGTCTCCGTTGCACAGCGTTTGAGAGAGATTCTGGCACTCCTATGATGCAGACGCGTAGAAGACTGTGTGTGTGTGTGTGTGTGTGTGTGTGTGTGTGTGTGTGTGTGTGTGTGTGTGTGTGTGTGTGTGTGGG